TAGGGGTGCGCGAGACGCTCGTGCCTTAGGGTGTGGCGAGGGGGTGCACAAGGAATCTGTTCGAGGGGAAGTAGGTGAAGGCGCAACAGCTGGACCTCTTGCTTGCTCCGCGTGCTTGCGCTTGTTCCCAAAGTGCGTAGGGGTTGCGCAGGTGGGGCACATGAGGAGCCCTTTTAGGGAAGTTATATGTGAAGGCGCACTAGCTAGAGGCTCTACGACTGGGCTGGGACACTTAGTGTGGCGCTCCATGGTGTGTGGTTGTGCCCTGGTATGTGTGGCCTAAAACAAAGCACGGGGAAACGGCATGAGGGCAAGTGTGTGACAGCTTATCAGTTGGATCGGGTACCTACACCCTACAGGGGTTGCGTTAGTGTGGTTACGTGCCTTGGGTTACTGTGTGCACTCTATGGTGTGGATGGGGGAGTGTACTTTTGAATTGGCTTATGCTTTCACATTGATGCAAAGGTCTGATAGCACACACCTTTGCCCCTTGTATTCTATAATAATGATAGTGAAGTTTTATGAATCGACATAAACAAAAAAGAATTATATCGGCAAATTTTCTATCAAAATTTCCCCCACCCTCAGTTATTGTGCCCCGTTCGTTTTGTCTGCTCGTTCTGTGGAGCAACAAACTGGTGGGCCCACCATTTGGAGGAGTGGAGGAAGGACCTCGTGCGTAAGACGTCGGTGTGGGAGGTGTGATTTCGTTTGTTCCTCGTATCGCGCATCGTTTGTTCCTGCAATTTTCTTGCTTCCCCCCACCCCATCCCCCCTAGTCAAGCAAAACACCGCCTCTGTACACCGACAGATGCATTCTGTTGCTTGTACACCTGGGCCAGGCTATGGTTCTCAGACGAACTGTCCAAATTGCAATCCTTGCCAGATCTTGTCTCCCCTAGGGTCCCACTTGCAATTCTCGCATGCTCGTGTCTCCCTACGTTCAGCCCCAAACACCAGGTACCAAACAGAACCGCATTAATTCATGCGGAAACGCTCTATATTTTGCCTAGGACTTATTGTGCATTTTTCGGGCTAATGTTTCGTTCGCCCGTGTTTTGAAATTTATGGGGAACAGGCTTGAGCCGCGTGAAAAAACCCGTGAGACAGGTGTACAGTACTTTTGGGATGTCCAACCAAAGGCCCACATCAAACGATGCCCAACCTTATCCCAGCTCAACCTGGCGCCCAATCAGAATCGTTTCCCAAAACCCCCGATATACAGGCAATGAGAGATCCGTTTTAGTCACTCATGATTGCGTCTGCGACCAACATATACAAGTAGTTGCCGACGAGGCTTCGTCGCCACGGAACTGTGCACCGCCGTCGCCTGGTCGCTTCACACGAATCGCACACTGGCAACAAACATCGCCACACAAGCCCCCCCCCCCTCCCTATAAATACCCATCCATTTCGCCGTGTGCTCGTGCGAAAGCCTCATTTGCCCATGGCGAGGGCATGCGAAATACTTTAGCGATTGAATCTCCGACACCCTCAAATCTTGTGCGACTCTGTCGAGCTTCGTCTGTATCCTATACAAAGGACGTCCAACCTTATTGCAGTTCACTTGGCTGCCCAATCAGAATCGCTTCCCAAAACCCTCGTTATACGGGTGATGGGAGAACCGTTTGAGTCACTCTGCGATGTGTTGTTATTGCATTTGCGACAAACATAAACCATGGGACAAGTCATCGTTGTTCTGGTTTCGCCGTCACGGAACTATACACTATTGTCGCTGTATCGCTTTACAAGAGTCGCATACTAGCAACAAACATCGCCACCCAAGCTCCCTCCCCCCTCCCCCCCCCCTTCCGCAAATACAGACGATGTCCGCAAAGTGCCCTGCCAAAAAAAAATCCCAATTGCACCCCCTCGCCCAATAGCAGAAGTTTACGGGCAGTATCCGTTTCGAGAGAGTCCCCCGCGTCGGCTACTGTGCTGAGTCATCATGACAGCGGGGATGAACATGCGGACAGCGACGAAGCAGTTGCAGCCTTCTGGTTTTCGCCACATATTTTCGGACGGCGTCGCGAGGGCGGTTCGTCCAGACCCAAATGACCTTTCGCGTTTTTCGCGAAGTCGCGAAGGACACGAGCGCAATGGAAATCTACGGAACACCGCAAACGGGAAACGCCTCGATGACTCAGCATAGCATGACCCCTTGGCAACTGACTGAACTAGAGCCCTATTTGGTCGAAACAACTGCCACTTATCGAAGCCGCACAAATTGTGAGCAGATGTCATGTTCGTGACCTATTGTTTGAGCTAATTAAACAGCACTCGGGGTTGTTTCTGATCGTCGCAGTGCAAAACAGCGTAACCGTGGTTACATACGCAATCTGAACTCTGCCACCCAACCTTCCCCTATTGCGACAAAAAAAGTTACCAACGAGCTCACCCTGAATCCCTCGCTTCTAGCAGCGAAAGCCGGCGAAATACCAAATCGACAGAAGCCCCCGCGGCTCGAAAAAGTGGCGTTCCTCTCTCGGGCTCAGGCTGTACCCACCCTTTTCGCCGTGTTCTCGTGCGAAGCCTCATTTGCCCGTAACGAGGGCATGCGATATTCTTGTGCGATGGAATCCCCGGTACCCTAAAACTCTGTGCGACTCTGACGAGCGTCGTTTGTACAAAGGACCAAAGCAATTAGATGCACCGGACTCAACGTTACTGTTCCAGTTTTGTAGTGCTGTACCGAATTTTGTGGGACACATCACCCTGGGGGTGCTCGCTAGTGGTCCCCCTTCTCTCCCCTTGCCTGGTTGCCCTGCTTTGTTACATACAGCACACAAAATACATTGCGTTGCACAAAATACACAATCTTGGATTCACTTCTGAAACCAGATCTCCACATCAATGCTGCTGCCTTGGACATGGTGTCGTTATAGAACAGGTTACCCGTCACAACGAGCTGTTCGGGGTTTCCCGCGAGTCGCAGGTGAATCAGTCCTACGCGGAGTCGCACTTCCCGAGTGGCGCGGTTTTCCTGATGCTGTTCCTCCTCGGCTCTACTGGACTCATCTTGTTTCTTTCTGCCTTGGGTGGCTGGGACTAGAAGAAGCCATGTTTGGGGGAATTTCAAGCCACCAAAGGTTGCCGCGTTCGGGCAAGTGACATCATCACTGAATCGGATTGGTCCTCCTGCCACTTCGTCCCTTTCGATTAGACATCCGTCTGCTTCCGCCCGTCCTTTCCAATGTCACAATTTGGAGACAAGTACACTTAGCCTGCGGTAATTTTATACCCTGAAACTGAGCGGCAGAAGAATTTTGTTTCTACCCTGACCATTTCTGAGTGCGTAGACAGTACCCTCTTGTACCTACGGCCTAAGCTTGGCAGAACACACGGGCAAACCCTAAGCTGACGTTGGATTTCCTGACTCGAGAAACCCTAAATCGAGTAGTAAATATTTTGTATAGAAACCCAAATACAATTTGTTTTTCAATGGTATATGGATCTGGTATTCATGAGTTGTTTTCGAGGGATGAATACGCTCTCGGAGGTACCCCTGTGAAAATACTGGGTGTAAAAATACCGCGGGCTAAATATATACTTCTTCTATGTATCGTTACAAATTCTATGTTCCATTGCCGCTGCCGCATCGTTTGCATCCCACCCATGGGTGGAAAGTAGGAGCAGTAGAGGGGTCTATACAAAATGATTGAGACTGGCAGCCCTTCATTTAACGCCAGTAAAAGCGACACCTAAAACAAACAAAAATAAAAACAAAAAACAAACAAAGGGGTTGGTTTTGGGGCCCTCGAAAACTGTAAAGTATGGTGTGTATTGGGGGAGGCTCTGTTATTGTTTAGTTTATTTCACCAAACTGAAACCAAATCTTTTGGATCTGGTTTCGCGGTTAGGGTTCATGGTGACCGACCCTGCTGGTCTTGATCCCTGTTTGAAGTTTTAGAACCGAGTCCTCACGTAGGCTGCGTTCTGCAGGCGAAAAGGGAAAGTACAATTGCATCATAGCACCTTCCGAAAACGAGATATTTTGCTTCGGATCGAGGGTCCGCCCGCAATTTTTCCCCCAAACCTAGCACAACGTACCCGAACCTAGTTACATCGACACGCCTGCAGAACACCTCCATCTACAGATGACATCTGCGTTAGAAAAACACCCCCCTCGCTTCCCTTCCAGGCAAATCTGATGCAAACTTGACGCAGCACCGACGTTTGCTCAATTGCGGAGTCCATCTTGCATTCAATTTTACATCACCCTCAAGGGTGTACTAGGCCTCCACACCCAAACAAAACGCATCAGCCTGACTCCACCCTGCTAGATTTGCCTTGCCCTAGCCAAAAAAATCAATTGGTTCAACCCATAGTTATGCAGTGCAGAAACACCAGGAGCACAGATATATCGTGCTGAGAATTGTGGGTGCATCTTGCTAAATCCTAGTCATTGTTTCGCCCTGTTATTACCTCCTAATCATACTCATATACCCTTGGGTTGTGGGTATCTGTTGCAGAAATATGAAATTCGTTCCTACCTCAATTTCGCGAACGGTTTCCTCAATTTGCTTGCGTGGCTTTCTGAGGGAGGCTCGGTAAAGTGCGCAAGCTTGGGTGGTAACCAGTGCTCACGAAATCGCTTGAGGAGCTTCCTCAATGTCGATGTCGATGTCAAGTGCCTGCATAGCACAGCCGTATTTTGCTTAGGGAGCGGGACATAGCCTACATCCGCGATCCCCACTATGTTGAAGGGAAGCCCTGAATGAGAACACATTAAATAGTCAAAATCACCAATGTTCAAAATACCTTATGGGATAGTTACCCCACATTGTTTGTATTTGCCGCACTGCACTGTATCCCCCGTGTCTCGAAGTGGATGAGAGGACCATTTGTTTGAGGCTCCGCTCGTCATCATTTGATTTGATATCGCGTCTGGCACGGCAAATTGGCAATGCACGGCACCTTCTCCCTTTGGCCCTCGTGAACTTGTTCCCCTTTCTTCAAAAGCCCCTCGAATCCTCGATACCTGACTCTCATCCGCGGCAGCAGTAGGGCCACAGCACAGCACTACGAAACCAATCCCAAATTGACGACCTTGCATCCTCGTTCTGTGCTAACTGTTGCCTCAATTCACCAGCACCAAGGCGCGGCTCCACCATTCGCTCAACCAAGGCGAGGCCCGACGGCGCACCATACTAGATAATCAAATCCTTCAATTTCGGTATCACACCTGCATCAGCCGCCATTTCGATTTCTGCGACGATGGAGGTCGCATTCGAGCGCCACCGATCGCTGAGCATCAGCGACGCGCCCTCCACGTCAGACGCCATTCGGGCATCACCCTTACTAGGACCAGCCTCGGGCCCCTACAATCCGGCGGCCGCTCCAGGATCCTTCGGCGCGGCGCGCGCGCGATCGCGCTCCGCCTCTTTCTCCTCCTACTGCCCGCCACCTATCGTCGTCCCCAGCAACAACTTATCAGATCCCGCCTTCCCCGGCTCCACCTCCCCCTCCCCTTCCGGCTACCCAGATCCCGCCTTCCCCGGCTCGTCCTGCTCCCCCTCCCCGCAAGATATCGGCCTCAGCAGCTGTGAGAACTCCCCCGCGTTTCTCGGCCACGGGGAGTTTTTTCAGGCTCGGACCGTGGTTCGGAGTCCGAACCAGGAGCTGGTTCGACAGCGGGCGGCGGAATCCGCGAATATGGACAGCCAATGGGAGCTGCCGCCCAGCCCCGGCCTGCGCACGCCCTGCACATGCCGGCGGAAGCCTTGCGCGTGCGCGGTTCTCTCGAAGCGGGCATCGCGGGGCGGGCCCCCGCTCTCATCGTCGAACTGGGGACGCCGCCTGCGCCGCTCCTTGAGCGGAGGCACGTCCGCCGCCTCCGACGGGGAAGGCGGCGCAGAGCCGACGCGCTCGCGCTCGCTCCTACTGCGCCGTTGCAAGACGAATGCCACTTCCGCTGGCAATTCCGCCGCCACGTCGGATACGGAAGATATGGGATACGGCTCGGGCGCCGGCGGCGGCGACTCGGGGAGATCCACGACGGGCAGGCGCGCGCAGTTCGCGCGGCTGTTCACGCGATCCGGCACGGCGCCGCCACGACCATCATCCAGCGGCGGCGGCGGCTTCCTCTCCGGATCGTTTGACGCGACTTCGACCCCAAGCCCGACCCGCGCGGCTTCCGGCGTCAATGTTAGCCCGCCCGCGGCTAATGGCGGTTTCGTGGCGCGGTGCGTGTCAGTTGACGCGGCAGCCGCCGCATTATCCGGCGGCAATGGCGGCGCCGGTAGCTACACCGAGCGGTCTGGCCGCTCGTCGTCTGCGACGTCGCAGAAGTATAGCCGATCTCCGTCGCCGACGTCGTCAGGGTCGCGTGGAGCAGCGACGACGGCGGAAGCAGGTTCGCGAATATCAGGTTCGCGAGTAACAGCATCAGGTGTTACATCGCCGCCTCTTGCAGCTCTTTCGCCGGACAGTCTCCCCGTGGGACCGAGCCATCCGAGCCGCAGCGCCGCGCCTGTGCCACGTGTCATCTCCATCGATAATGCCGTAGCATGGCTGAACAACACGCGGAAGGGCAACGCTCACGGTCACGGGCGAAGAAGCACCGATAGCGCCGGGGAAGACGGCGTGAGTCCCGCTAGTAGGCAGTCCGCGCGGCGCGCCTCGTTCGGCGGTGGGTTTTCGCGAGCGGCAAGCGCTTCTATCGGATCGGCTACTAGCGCGAACGAGGACGACTTGAGCCGCGCGTGGGACGATTTCACCGCGTCTGCCGCCGCCGCCGCGGCGTCAGCGGGAACTGCTGGCGACTATAGCGCCAGCGGCGGCGTCTCCTCTGCGCGCCGACCCTCAGCAGAGCAGCAGCCGGCCACTGCGCGGAAGCGACAGCCGGGGGGGGCGCTACAGCAGGGGATTCAGCAATCCGGGGCGCTACAGTCAAGGTCGCTACAGCCGCAGCAGCAGCAGCAGCAGCAGCTGTGGAGCGTAGCCAAACAGAAAACGTTTCGACCGTCCGCGAGTTGCGGGTCGCTCTCTGATCTCGTGCCGGATGATCCAAGAGGGGGTGATTACAGCGGGGGTGGTTATGGTGGGCGTGGTTACGGGGGTGATTCCCAAATAGCCTCGAAATTTATGGGTAATCTCGGCTCAACACACCCTGTTTCCAGGAGGGGTTCATCCCGCCCGACCCCTCCCCCTCCGCGGCCTACTTCCCCCAATGCCGGTCCGCGCGCCGTTCACTCGCGCTCGCCGTCCCCATCCGGCGCTGGTACTTTCCGTGCTGGCGGCGCTGGCGCAAGCACAGCGTCTGCCACGTCAGCGGCCAATCAGCAGGCAGAGTCGTCAGAGCCGATTCGGTTCCGCGTGAACACCAACGGTCGGATTTACCGGTCCCACACAACACCTGCCTCCCTTGCTCCCTCCACCTCCTCCTCCTCAGCCGCCGCCGCCTTCGCCTCTCGTACGCGTTATTGCGCGATCCCAAACTCGTTATCGCTGCAGGACACCGAGCCTACCGCTCTAGTAAACAGTCCCACCATCGGCCGTTCGATCCCTGCAGCAGGCAACGACACGTCACCGGTGACGTCAGCATCCCACGTCAGCCCGACGAACGGACGGCGGGCCTCGCGCCAGGTGTCGTTCAACGAGCTGGTCCGCGTGCGCCGCATCCCACGGCACTTCTTCTCCGCAGATCTGACGGCCACGGCGATGGATCTCGTGAGCCCCGGGGACGATCCGACGGCTGGGAGCGCCGGGAGTCACGGATCGGCCAGCTGGCATGCGATCAACGGGATTCATGGCTCCGCGCCCGCTTACGCTTCCGCGGATGAGAAGCGGAAGAATCCGCCCGCTTCCACCACTGCCCTAGCGCCAGCGGGAGGGGGATCGCCAGGCGGATCACCGGGGGGATCGTCAGGAGCAGGGGGAGGGGGGGAAAGGGAGATTCTGCGCCCGCGCCTGCGCCTGCTCGCGCGCTTGCCCCTGCGCCTGCGCTTGTGCCTGCGCCTCCCCCTGGATCCTCCGCAGCGGCAGGGGGCGCGCGGAGGGTTGGCAGGAGCGGAAGCTGGTCGTCGGGCGGCGGCTTGGCGGCGGTTGCGCGGAACGCGGTTGCGCGAAACGCGGGGAATGCGGGGAATGCGGGGAACAGCGTTGCGCGGAGCGCGGGGAACGGCGGCAATGACGGCGGAATGGCAGCTCCGCGGATTGCACCGAACGGCGGGACTGGCGCGGGAAGTAGCCGCGACGGCAACGGCGGGGGTCATCGCGCTGTTAACAGTAGCGGGGTCAGCAGTAACGGGGGTTCTCCCCCCCCTGTTGCTACTGCTGGTAGGATGGGCGGAAGCAGTGGCATGGGCGGCAACAGTGGTGGCATGGGCGGCAGCAATGTTGTTGCCTCTGGAGGGACAGGTGGCAGGGGTGGAGGTTCGGGTGCAGGTTCGGGTGCAGGGTCGGGTGCTGCTGGGTCGGCTCGGACTGTTCGCCATGCCAGGAGCCAGAGTTTCGTGGAACGTTCCAGCAACGACATTGCACGCATGGCGGCCATAGCAGCAACAGGAGCAGGAAGAGCAGGAGGAGGAGCAGCAGGAGGAGCAGCAGGAGCAGCAGCAGCGGCGGCGGCAGCGGCGGGATCTAACGGGCGGGGAGCAGCAGTGGGAATGATCGGCAGATCTAGCAGCGTCAGCTGCTCAGACGATAACAGCACCAGTAGCAGCGGCGGCATCCCCCTCCGTCGTATCTCGGACCGGGCAGACCGGGCAGACCGGGCAGACCGGGAAGAACGGGCAGAACGCCCCATTCCCAGGAACCTTTCCGTCTGCCCGCCTTCCTCCTCTGTTCGCCGCGACGCTTTTCTTGGGAAGGCCGGAGCCAACGGGTGCAGCAGCGCCGGCAGCACCAGCAGCAGCAGCACCATCAGCAGCAGCAGTGGGAGAAGCAACACCAGCAGCACCAGCAGCAGCAGCAGCAGCGGCAGTGGGGGAAGCACTGTCAGCACCAGTGGTGGTAACCGCGTCCCGGGTCCCCTGGTTGCCTCGCCGCCTGCCCCCCGCTTCTCCGCCCACCCTCCTAGTCCCGCCACTAGAGGCCCCGCGTCCCGATCAGCAGCAGCAGCAGCAGCAGCAAAAGCAGCAGCAGGAGCAGCTGGAGGCTCATCCCAAGCGCTATCAGCTGACCGGTTGCCCCTACAAGGCTCCTCTCAGGGGTCCGTTCAGGGTTTGTTTCAGGGGTCCTTTCAGGGCCCCCCTCACGGCCCCCAGCAGGGGCATTCGCAGGGCCTCCCCCTCCGCTCCCCCCGCCACGCGCGCCACCACAGCCTGGGCAGCGCTGCTGCTCTTGCCGCCCACCCCTCGCCTCGTGCTGCTGCCCTCGTCACGATCCCCTCCCCCCGTGCTACTACACCACACGCTGCTGGTCTTGCCAGCCACCCCTCTCCCCATGCTACAGCCGGATTGCAATCTGGATGTTCGAGTGAATCCGCCCCTCGCCCGCCGCCCGCAGGATTCAGAATGCCGCCCAATGTGCTCATCAGCATCTCACAATCCCTGCGGTCCTCGTCGCTCCAGTCGCCTTCCACTCCCCGCTCCCCTGGCCTGTCCTCTCCGCACCCTTGCTCCCCCCACTCCCCCCGCGCTGCTGCGCCCCACTCCCCCCGCTCTGCTGCCCCTCACCCCCCCCGCTTTGCTGCTCCCCACTCCCCTCGCTCTGCTGGTCCTCACTCCCCACGCTTTGCTGCCCCTCACTCCCCTCGCGCTTCTGGTCCTCTCTCCCCTCGCTCTACTGCCCCCCACTCCCCTCCCTACGCTGCCCCTTCTGCTGCTCCTTTCTCACCCCGCTCTGTCGCCCCGCTCTCCCCTCGCTCCGCTGCCCCACTCTCACCCCGGTCTGCTGCTCCCCACTCCCCTCGCTTCCCTGCTCCTCGCGCCCAGATTCCACACTCCACCTCCAATCGTGCCCCTCTCCCTCACTCAGCTGCTGCTGCTGCTTCTCCTAATCCTGGGTTTAAAGCCAGCCAGTCCCCAGCAGCACTTGGCCAGCCGCGCCCAGGAAATGTGCCGTCTCCCCGTACCCGCACCCATGTGCGCTCTGCTAGTGTTGCAGAAGTCACCTGCACTTAAACCAGCATTGGGCAACTATGAAGTGCTAGTTTTTTTTTGTCTGGTTTCTGTGTGTATCTTTTACCTCCAGTACCAATTTATGGAGGCCCTTGCAGCACGGATGCACTAACTTGATACCTTTTGCTGCTTCGTTTTTAGGTGGGAGTCAATGCTGTCAGCTTACCTTGCGCGATGCATACATTTTAGCCATTCAACTGATGGGTTCCTCCTGGATTGTTTTCATTCCACGGAGTTATGATGGGCTTTAAGTCATGAGGTCATGGGTGTTCAAATTATATAAGTTATAATTTAATATAGGCTTGGTAGGTTGTTACTGAACCTTTCTGTAGGGGGTACAAACCCCTCCTTGTACTCCCCTCTCTTCTAATCCAACCCCTTTTCTCTTCTCAACTTTCCTAGCACCTAAAACCTCTCGCCATTCTCATGGCTCCTCCTAGCTCCTAGCTAAACCTTGTGCCATTCTATGGCTTCCTAGCTAAGCTAGTTTCTGACATGGTATTAGAGCAGTTCGTTCCGCGTGGGCCTGCTCCTCGCGTTTCCGCTGCGTGCTCGTTTCTCTCTCTATCTCGCGCTGCCATGGCGGCCGCGTCAAGCTGCTGTGGCCGCGTCGTCGTGCCGCGGCGCCGCCGTCGACGTCCATGGCGCCCGCGTCCAGCTGCTGTGGCCGCGCCGTCGTGCCGCAGCTCCGCCGTCGCGTCAAGTTGCTGTCGCGACGTGACGGCGCCGTCACGCTGCCGCGGCGTCTACGCGACAGCGCGCGGTCGGCGTAACGGCGACGTCGTGCTGCCGTCGCAACGTCGACGCCCCGCTGCGGCATCGACGCCGCTCCATGACGGCGTCGTCGGGCTGCAGCCGGCCGCGTGACGCTTGTGGCGCCGCTAGACCGGCCGCCCGCATGTCAGCCTGTGGCGCCCCCCCCCCCCCCCACCCCCCTCCTTCCCTTGTGCCCTCTTCCATTCCGCAGACGACGGCTGACTCCCGCCGGCCGTCCCACCGTCGCGGGGCCTGGCCACGTCACCGAGAGGTGCGGGTGCCGCCGCCGCTGCCGCTGTTGTCGAAGCCGCCGCCGCCGCCGCTGTCGCCGCTTGCGTCGGGGCCACGCAGCCGCACGCCGCCGCCGCCGCCGCTGTCGACACTGCCGCCGCTGCCGCCGTCGCCGCCGCAGCCCCTGCGGTCGACGTCGCCGCCTCACGCGCCGTGGGGTCGACCGACCTAGAGTCGCTGTCACTGTGGCTGGAATGGGGGTGCTAGGTTAGGGGGTGTGGGTGTGTGTGGGCATGTGACTACCAAGCCTAGGGGGTGTGTTCAAATTATATAAGTTATAATTTAATATAGGCTTGGTAGGTTGTTACTGAACCTTTCTGTAGGGGGTACAAACCCCTCCTTGTACTCCCCTCTCTTCTAATCCAACCCCTTTTCTCTTCTCAACTTTCCTAGCACCTAAAACCTCTCGCCATTCTCATGGCTCCTCCTAGCTCCTAGCTAAACCTTGTGCCATTCTATGGCTTCCTAGCTAAGCTAGTTTCTGACAATGGGGACATTAGTGTGTGCTACCTTAAAGCCTGCGGCCCAAATTGCGAGGCGCGTCTTAGAAACTTAGGACTCAAGGTTCTTAAACTTAGGAGGCTAGGTTGGCTAGGATACTAGGAAGAAGGCCGCCATGGAATAGCGTGAGGAAAACGGATCTAGGAAGGGAGAGAATGTCGAGAAGGTGTTTGATTAGGAAGAGAGAGGAGTACAAGAAGGGGTTTGTACCCTCTACAGAAAGGTTCAGTAACAACCTACCAAGCCTATATTAAATTATAACTTACCGTATATAATTTTAACACACCCCCTAGGCTTGGTAGTGTCAAGCCCACGCACACCCCCACACCCACACCCACACCCACACCCCCTAGCCCAGCACCCCCATTCCCAGCAGGAGCCGCAACGACTCCGGAAGAGGGTAGGTCTCACGGCCCCTTGAGACGGCAATGGCGACAGCAGCGACAGTGACGACGGCGGCGGCGGCGGCGGTGTGCGGCGGCTCCAGGCCTGCGGCAACAGCGGCGGCGCTGGCGACTCGAACGACAGAGGCTGGTGCGGCGGCCCCCGCCCTCTCGGCGGCATGTCCTGTCTCCTCGGCGGTGGAGAGGTCCCTCACATGGCAGTCATCGGCTGCAGCAAGAAAGGGGGGGATGCAGGGGAAGCAGGTGCAGGTGGGGGGGGGGGGAGGGGAGGGGGCGGGGCGAGGCGAGTCTTCAGCGACGCGCCATAAATGGCGCGGCGCTTACTGGCGGGAGGACGTCGTCCTGAGGGACGCCCGTCTGTGGCGAGCGGTCGGCAGGCCCGGCGACGCCACAGACGTCGCTCGGCCGGCCGCAGCCCGACGATGCCGTCGGCTGCCGCAGACGCCGCCACAGCGCACCGTCAGTGTCGCAGCGGCGAGGCGGACGGGCGACGGCTGCACCAAGGGGCCGTCGCGACACCTTGGCGCCGCGACGGTAGGCAACGAGGAACCGTCGCGACATCTTGGTGCCGCGACGGCAGGCAACAAGGGGCCGTCGCGACATCCTGGCGCCGCGACGGCAGGCAACAAGGGGCCGGCGCGACAGCTTGGTGCCGCGACGGCAGGCAACAAGGAGCCGGTCGCGGCACGACGCGGCCAGTGGCAGCGCGACGTCGCCACTGCAGCAAAACGCGGCCGCCATGGCCGCTCGAGCGAATGAGGGTGAGGAGTAAATGGCGGAAGCGTGAGGAGGCGGTCCACTAGGGAGGATCTCTTGCTCTGATACCATCTTAGAAACTTAGGACTCAAGGTTCTTAAACTTAGGAGGCTAGGTTGGCTAGGATACTAGGAAGAAGGCCGCCATGGAATAGCGTGAGGAAAACGGATCTAGGAAGGGAGAGAATGTCGAGAAGAAAGGTGTTTGATTAGGAAGAGAGAGGAGTACAAGAAGGGGTTTGTACCCTCTACAGAAAGGTTCAGTAACAACCTACCAAGCCTATATTAAATTATAACTTATATAATTTTAACAGCGCGACCTTCAAACGCACTGCGTTTGAAAGTCACGTTTTCGTGGGTGAAGATGGGGGTAACGTGACTCGCGTCACTCGGGGCTGGCTTTCAAGTTCAGTGCGGAACATATTTTGGGACACCCAGTGCCTCACGTTTTTTAGCCGTCCAATATTTAGGGATTTCCATCTGACGGCTCGCAAGCAGGGCCCTAGATTGGTTTTGAGGCTTCCTGATCCATCAGGATTCTCCCTGCAGAAAAGTCTGAATTTTCAGGGTCCCCTAAAAAAAAATCCTGAGCCATCAGAATTACTTTAAAAAAGAATACTGATTTTTCAATCTTTCTTTACATGTTATAGTTCGTGAATTTTGGTTTTTGGGGGTGCTGGGAATTCGTAGCGAATTTGCGCGTGTGTGGCGAGATTGGGGGATGGGCAGGAAACGACAATTGGTGGGGGAGAGAGGGAGGAAGGGCTGAATAGGGGGGGAGGCGACGAGATTGCAGGTGCGGAGGGAATCTCTTCCCTCGCAGAGCCCTAGGGCAGGCGCACATCAAGCAAATTCGTCCAAGGGCTGGCAATTGCCCTCACACAGTCCTCAGCACACCTCCCTCACATGACCTCCAACATTCTGCGCGGAGAATTTTTTTACCAAGGGCCAATCAGCGCCCTCACACAGCCTCGGGGGGTGGGGGAAGGAGGGGGGGAGAACCTCGAAATTCTTGACTGCCCCCCCTAGACACGCTTTTGGAAAGGGCTAAGACCCGCTACAATGCTGAGAAATTCAGGGTTCGCTAAGAAACCTTGCTGAGCGATCAGAGTTTACCCTTAGAAAAAGCCTGAAAAAACAGGGTTTGTCATTTACAAAACCCTGCACAATCAGGGTAAGTACCGAGAAACTCCCTGTTTTTTTCCTGAATCAGGAAAATTTTCCTGACTTCTGGAGGGCTGCTCGCAAGTAAACTGCTTCCCCCAGTCAATCGAAATGTAATCTCAGCCGTCGCACTACCTGCTTGCAAATCGGACGATCTACGACAAATTGCAAATTCGCGAGATGAAACACCCTCACGATTTGTCTGTGTATTTCGTCCAAGCCGAGGCTCACAGTTCATACGCAGTGCGTATGAACAATTTGGGCTACGGGCTTTAATGAAAATAGAAGGATCGGTGGTATAGATCGATTTGCGGTATGGATAATGACGATTGCTGGCTGCATATAGATATTGCTGTCAACTTATACATATTGGCTATGTAGAAGTTATAGGCTAGATTGAGGTATGCTTCTAGAGAGTACAACCAGCTAGTATTTGTTCTAGGTTTCAACTTCTAGTCAATCATTCAGTTCTTACTTTAACATGGTATCACGCGTAGGTTAGCATCCCCCACCTACCGTTTCCGCCCGTACCCTAGCTAGGCCCCACCGCGCCCCCCCCCCCCCCCCCCCCCCCCCCCCCCCCCCCCCCCCCTGGGGCCCCGTCGCGCCTCCTAGCCCCGTCGCGCCCCTCCTGGGCCCCGTCGCGCCTCCTGGCCCCGTCGCGCCCCTCCTCGGCCCTGTCGCGCCTCCTAGCCCCGTTGCGCCCCTCCTAGGCCCCGTCGCGCCCCTCCTGGGCCCCGTCGCGCCTCCTAGCACCGTCGCGCCCCTCCTGGGCCCCGTCGCGCCTCCTAGCCCCGTCGCGCCCCTCCTGGGCCCCGCCGCGCCTCCTAGCCCCGTCGCGCCCCTCCTGGGCCCCGTTGTGCCTCCTAGCCCCGTCGCCCCTCCTAGCCTCGTCGCGCCCCTCCTGGGCCCCGTCGCGCCTCCTAGCGCCCCTCCGGGGCCCCGTTGCGCCTCCTAGCCCTGTCGCGCCCCTCCTGGGCCCCGTCGCGCCCTGCCTGGCCCCGTCGCGCCCGCTAGGCCCCGTCGCACCCTGCCTGGCCCCGTCGCGCCTGCCTGGCCCCTCCGCGCCTGCCTGGCCCTACCGCGCCAGCCTGGCCCCGCCGCGCCTGCCTGGCCCCGCCGCGCCTGCCTGGCCCCGCCGCGCCTGCCTGGCCCCACCGCGCCTACTTGGCCCCGCCGCACCTGCCTGGCCCCTCCGCGCCTGCCTGGCCCCGCCGCGCCTGCCTGGCCCCGCCGCGCCTGCCTGGCCCCTCCGCCCCTGCCTGGCCCCGCCGCGTCTGCCTGGCCTCTCCCACTGCCCGCCCGGCCCATCTTCGTGCCTGCTCGTTCTGCCGTGCCACCTCGGGCTCCGTCTACTCTGCTCGCCAGTGCTGGGGCGCCTCGCGGCCGCCGTGCTGGAGAGTGCTGTCGCCGTGTCCCTGCGTCGTTGTCTTCCTGTGGAG